CATGTCTTTTTTCAATTCATATCAATATCTTCAATCTCAAAGGAAGCACAAGTTCTTAAAGTAGCAATGCAATTTAAACCAATAACAAAAATTAAACACATTACAGATAACTTTAACAAATAAACAAACACTAATATTGGGTATTACCTCCATGTGCTCTAATAACTGCTGCCATGCGACGTGGTAATCTCTCAATACAATTGGCAATAGCTCTTTGCGGAATGTTTTCCCACTCTTCGAGACGAGCTCTTCGAAGATCTGGAATGATTTCCGGTTGTCGACTGCGAATTAGCCTCCGTAACATGTCCCACACATGCTCAATCGGGTTCAGATCAGGGCTACGTGGAGGCCAGTTTAAACGTTGAATCCCTGCTTCATCAAGATAATCACTGACAACTGTTGCGACATGAGACCTGGCATTTTCGTGCATCAATGAAAAATTTTCCCCAACAAATGGAGCAAAAGGAATAACGTGGACCGCTAAACATTCCTCAATATAACGGTTAGCAGTTTAAGCGCCATTTTCGATAAAAACCAGGGCAGTACGGACATAAACAAAGCCACTTATTGGTCGCAAGATGCCATTTTGCACGACAATACATGTAAAACTGATTCCAACCTGCAGGGACACGGCATTTTGTGACCAATCAGGGACAAGCGGTATTGTTTACCTTCCAAAGTTTTCAATGTCCAAATCCATCTTGAGGAAAAATACACTTTAGAAGTGTTTATTTTCGTTTGTTTCTTTATCATAAGTGTCAGTGTATCCTTATTCAGAGGATGAATTGTTTTTCAATATGCGATCCGAAGGTGTTGCACGAGCTGTTGCATTGAATGATGATGGACGTGATATACGCTACATCGCTAATGTGTTGGGCAGAGCCAGAAGAACTGTACACGATGCAATTAGTCACTTTCGTCAGACTGGTGAGTACACACGACGTCCAGGATCTGGGAGACCCCGCGTCACAAACCAGCGAGATGATCATTTTATTACCGTAACTGCTTTACGAGACCGGAAAGTAACATCCTGCTGTTATTAGTCATCGACTTGAAAATGTACGTGGCACAAGAGCTTTCTGGACAAACCGTTTGGTGTAGACATGAACAAGGATTGATGTCAAGGAGACCGGCTGCTTATCCAGCTTCACAAGCAGCCCATCGTACTCAACGGTTAAATTTTGCCCGTGTCCATAGAGAGACTGGAATGACGGAGAGTGGGGATGTGTCACCCGATGGACGAGAGCCTGTATGGCGAAGACGGGGAGACGATTGACGATTTTGCGACTGTTGCATTTCTCCAAGAACACCTTTTGGACGCGGTAGTATCATGGTGTGGGCTGGAATTACACCTTACGCCCGTACTGCCCTGGTTTTTATCGAAAATGACGATAAAATGCTAACCGTTATATTGAGGAATGTTAAGCGGTCCACGTTATTCCTTTTGCTCCATTTGTTGGAGAAATTTTTTCTTTGATGCACGACAATACCAGGCCTCATGTCGCAAGAGTTGTCAGTGATTATCTTGATGAAGCAGGGATTCAACGATTGGACTGGCCTCCACGTAGCCCTGATCTGAACCCCATTGAGCATGTGTGGGACATGTTAGGGAGGCTAATTCGCAGTCGACAACCGGAAATCATTCCAGATCTTCGAAGAGCTCGTCTCGAAGAGTCGGAAAACATTCCGCAAAGAGCTATTGCCAATTGTATTGAGAGATTACCACGTCGCATGGCAGCAGTTATTAGAGCACATGGAGGTAATACCCAATATTAGTGTTTGTTTATTTGTTAAAGTTATCTGTAATGTTTTTAATTTTTGTTATTGGTATAAATTGCATTGCTACTCTAAGAACTTGTGCTTCCTTTGAGATTGAAGATATTGATATGAATTGAAAAAAGACATGTTAAGAAATGATAAGGCTTAAGAATGTCCTGCAAATACGCATGATGGTGTCGTTGAGTTATTCCACAGAGTGTTCAGAAGTTTGGGACCAAATGCAACTTATGGTTCCACCCTGTATAACACCAAATCCATTCGACCTTTTTGCAAACACAATATTAAATAATGATCAAGATAAACGCGCCTACCATTTGACAAAAAATGATCAATTTCGATGCAAAATTGGAAAAATTATTAAGGATTGAAATTTAACAAAATTTTGTTTGTCCGGTTTTTTATGTCCAGGAGTGTATTATGACACATAAAGTTTGATTAATTTAATAGCGCTGGTAGCACGTTTTTTTCCCAAATTTGTTAAGATTAAACGGCCCCAAGGGACTCAATGGAAAATACTTCCATGGCAGCAGAAAGCCTACAAAAAACACGTTTTTTTTTTATTTCTTGAATTTTTCAGTTTTCTAGATCATGTTATCCCAACAAACACAAGTACGTCTTTAGTACGTCCATAATTCGTACTTTTTCGGACGAAAGTACGTCCGTGGACGTACTTTTTAGGTCCCGCCGACGTCCGAAGGACGTCTTTAAGACGGTCGTTTTCCACAAAATAGTACGTCCGACGTACGTACATTCAGGGACGTACTCAGTACGGCTTTTTAAGTACGTATTGGGGACGTACATTAACGTACGTATTTAGTATAGCTTGTCAGGCATGTGTTTGGGACGTACAGGGTTTTCCCATATATTTTTGCACCCTACCGGAACTGGTTGATTGAATAGGTATCAAAAAGATGTAAATACAAATGTTGTGTTTACACCTTTTTGATACCTATTCAACTAACCTGTCCAGATGGGGAGCAAAAATATATGGAGAAAAACCTAAACATAGAGGTAGATATGTATTTATGTGTAGGTATCTTTATAGTGAAAAATAAAACCATATAAATATGTATTGTATTTTCAAGTTACAATTTTCATACTTAATAAATACCTTAACAATTAGACTGAGAAACTGAAAAAAATTAACACAATATCAAATATAACATACTCTTAAACTTAAACTTAACCTTAAACAACAGTACATAATATAACAAAAAAAATTAAGGAAAAGTGAAGAAAAATTCGAACCTTAAAAAAATATAGGTAGGTAGAGAAATAGGTAGGTATCCTATAAAACAAACATAATAATATAGAAAATTGTAAAAGGGCATAAACCAGAAAAAGTTTCACACAGTAATAATCTTGGTAAAAGTATTATTATACACACAAAATAAATATAGTAAAGTGTATAGCCAAGCCGCGAAGCTGCCAAGCTATGAAGCTAAACACTTGAAGCACATGCCGGCGTTGCTGCAATCAATACAAAATGGTTCTCGCGTCACTTAATTTGGCAAAAAAAAACAGAAATAGAAGAAAACAAAACCTAACACCAACACAACACTCTACAAACAAACACAAGAGAAAAAGGCAAAAGCAGGCAGAAACAACTCAAGCGAGGCGTCACATCAAAATATGAACAGATGAACGATGAACCCCCCGATAAGCTGTGGTCGAAGATGCCAGTGTTGCCAGATGTCAAATTCAAAATTATCAGAAAAAGTTTGTGTCAATTTTTTTGACTTTCATCTCTAATCTCTATTTATATTTTTCTAACAAAAAAATTAACCAAAAACTAACGGTGCTGTGAGGTCAACTCATTTCTAGCTGGGAAGTATTTGGTGCGATCACCCGTACGTCAAAACCTGAGGTCAAAACCACCAACCAAATAAATGTTTAATTTTCAACTAAAAATTTTAAAGATATGCATTGAAACTGTAGTTTCATTCAATTATGGTAGATTTAGCTTGTGATTATCGATTATTCAATTGTAGTCAAAATGATGGTAGATTTCGATAATTATCGGGTCCTTGGCAACACTGCACCCTGCTGTTGTCAAGCGGCCGACGTCCCTTGCTTTCCAATGCTTTATTTCATGTTTATCTTATCTTGAAATTTGACCATTTATTTAGGTCAGGTAGGTACCTAAATGAAATATAAATCCTTGATTATATAATATGACCTGCCTCACAAAACGTTCATAATGACTATGTATTCGTATTTATTAAGTTTAGATCTAAGGTTTAAGGAAATCCATGTCAATCTGACCGGCATTTTTGGGTTTAGGTTTGGAGGTTAATTTGGAAGGCTACCTACCACTCCCGTATCTTTTGCTCGGAAATTGCATATTATTTAAATAATATATCATGATCAGAAATTAATAAAAAAAATCATGAATAGATGGTAATGATCCAGTTCGTCTTGTATTGTTCGTCTTTGAAACGAACATGTACGTCTTTTATAAGACGTACGCATTACAGATTTTCACGTACGTACTTGGTACGTAATTTTTTGTCTGTATATTAATACAGCCTTTCACGTACGTACTCAAAACGTAGTTTTACATCCCCGACGAACCGACGTAAAACGGACCTAAAATGTACGTCTTCAGTACGTACTGTGTTTGTTGGGATAGAGCAAATAATATTTACCTAAATTTAAGTAGATGGTTTCAATATTCCTAAAACTTTAATAATTCATAAAATCCATCCCTGCAATACCTATTTATTTTACACTTCGTACCTACTACGTAAATAGAGCCCATGTTGCAGTATAAACACGAAAAATCGATCATCTGCCGGCAACAGAGCAACCCAAAGAGTTCATGGCAACCTGTATGACCTGAAGGACGTTTTCTTCCTTATACATAATATTATTGTTTCGAATATTTTCTTAAATACTTAAACTTAAAAAATAATGCAAACATAATATGGTTTTATACAGAATTCTCAAAATTAATCTGGCAAAATAAGGAAAAAATGGGTGCTGGAGCATTTCTGGAAACTAGGTCACCATGGCCCATTCATAATGCACCACACAATGCGTCGTATTTTTTTTTAAGGCGGATTTTAGCTCGATTATGCTTGATAACTAGGTACTTTTTTATAATAAAGTTCTAATAAGGTTCTCAACATAAAAAACTGAAAAAAGAGTTTGATAAAATTATTAAATTGAAAAATCAATAACAAATGAGTGAGAAATAAAATTTAAAAAAAGGTTCTTACCAGAAATAGGACTTTGTTCAGAAATGAGTACCATTTTTTATTCCTCCAGCCGACACTTAAGTACCCAAAAGGTTCCAATAATTAAAATCCATTATAGAAAAAAAAAACACTCATTAATCCACACGCACGCACTAAAACACCAAAACGTTATAATAATAATAACAATAATTCGTAAAAAATCACAAAATTTTATATAAAATACTATTATAAAAATACACTAAAATTGAATCTACTTGATAAGATTTTTGCTCTACACTGTGCACATACTGGAACAGTGTTGTTTTTTGATTGTGCGCCGTTAGGCCGGTTAGTGTTGTTGGACGGTTTAGACGCTTGCGTCGAGGCGCAAGAAACAATTTTATAATCGTCCTTGGAAGGAATTTCAATATTTCAAGCATTGTAAAGGAGAAAATATTGTACTATTGTTGGTACAATATATTGTGAAAATATTATTTCAGATCATACTCACATTTTCACGAATTCCGCGGGTCCAGTAAAACTCTCTTTACATGGGCGTCGTTTGGGGGGGGCAAGGGGGGCATTTGCCCCCCCCTAGAAATAGTCTTTTGAACAAGAAAGCAGTAAAAGAGAGTTCGTATTCGTATTGCTTTTCTCCATTTTTTCAAAATTTTTTTAGGTACAGTAGACTCGTCGTAGACTCGTGCTAGTGTGAACACACGCTTCTGTGAACCTCCCAGTAGTATGAACAGCTAGAATGAATACATTATACATATTCTGTAGTGTGAAATTTTGAGAATATCGGTAGTATGAACAATGTATTTGACTACGAATTTAACCGTTTTCTGCCTACTTGTTGTTTTCATCGATTGTTTCTATCCAATTATGGAGTTCCCCAAAGGTTTTGAGCCAAGGAACGCACAGATATGTTGAGTTACTGCATTCACTCTAATGTGGAATTCGCAAGTGGCAGCACGTCAAGAGCACGTTCAAAATTCTATAAATCTTCAGTTCGTTGTTTGTTGTGGTTAATCAGTTTTGTAAAAATGGCGAAAAACACATATTTTTCAACTCTCAATGGGTCTGTTCTCACAAGACTCTCTGTCAGTTTGCAAACTGTCAGAATGCATCGCCTATGCATATAACTCAATAACTCAGCTGAGCGATTGTTACTGACAGTTTGCAAACTGTCAGGGACTTCTGTGAGAACAGACCTTATATGGGAAGTCAAAAATTCTAGAAGATTGCCAGCAAGGCAATAGCATATATTCGCGCTAATGACAAAGAAAGCCTAAGAAACTTTAAGATAAAGTAGGTAGCCATCCAATGCTCAGGTAGAACCATTTAGACAAAAATTACATCTCACTTTAATCAATAAACTGGGAAAATTTACTTAATGGATAGGTTTGCAAGTACCTATGGTATTAATTTTTCTTGAATTTTAAGTTTAGAGACCATTGCTGACAATATTTTGCATTTTTAGGTAGACCTGCGATGGTGTGAACGTCTGGATAATATGAACACGACCGGTTTTTTTGTGTTCACACTAGCGCGAGACTACTGTACTTTGAAAAATTGGCTGACATTTTCATTATATTCAACGGAATTGAATTTCACTTGACTTAGGGCCGGTATTATAAAACACTGAACCGATGGTAGAGTTTCAAGTTCCAACCTTCGGTTGAATCCTACCAATTTGCATGGAGTCAACCGAAGGTTGAAACTCAATCATCGATTCAGTGCTTTATAATACCGGCCATTGGAAAATTACCTTAACAAATGATGCGGACAGTGAATTTGTTGCGGAAAAAAATTCCATCATTTTTAACAAATATCGATATCAAATAAGTACGTTAAAATGCTCAAAAAGGAGCGTGGCACCGAAAAAAATTAGCCTACGGCGGTTGCCTGCGGCCGGCGCTAATGGAAATGGTCTTATCATACAGGGTGAGTTTTTTTAAGTGTTACAATGCGATATATCAAAAACAGCTGCAAATTTTTTTTTGATATTTTGGTGACGTAATAAGTACACGGGGGGACACATTTTACAATATTTTTGACATTTGCCCCTTCACTCTCTTGAGAGGAGTGGGGGGTCATTTTCTTATTTTAAATGGAAAGATGTGTTTTTTATTCTGAAATATGATTCTTCATACAAAATGGAGTCTGTTCACAAATTATTTTTCAAATTGTTCAACTAAATATGGAATTATGACTAAAAAGGTAACTACAATAAAAAAAATTCTTATCGCCTAATTTTTTATTATCTATCGTCTATTATGCCTAAGAAGTAGTTCAAAATGACCGCCTTCGACTTCCAAACATTTCCCTATTCTTTCCCGGAATGAATTTCCTACTCGTTGTAACATTGCTGGAGTCACCAATAAACATGCAGAACGAATTCTGTTTTTCATGTTCTCTGGAGTCGTAGGAGCAGTAGCCATCACTTTACTCCTTAATAAATCCCCATAAAAAAAATCAAGCGGGGTCAAATCTGGCGAACGAGCAGGCCAGTTGATAGGACCACCCCGACCAATCCACCTATTTCCAAATAATCTATTCAAACGATTACGGGCCTGTATGGCATAGTGAGGTGGAGCTCCATCGTGCTGAAACCATACGTCTGGATTAATATTCTGGTTCAGTAATCTAGGTAACTAATTTCTTAAAAAAACTTCGTACACCTGTCCATCTAAATGACCTTGAAAAAAATGCTATAACTAAAAATTAGGCGATAAGAATTTTTTTAATAATAAACAATAAACTTTATTAACGGACAAGCCATTTACAGTAAATAACATAATAAAAAAATATATGACGTTATAATATTAACGAAAAACACAAGAACTTAAAATTTAACATTTACGGTACATATAAATACACTGACATTTAGCGCTGCAGACTATTTAACAAATGTTTACAAGTTTTCAGAGACATGCCAAAAAAATCAAAATTGTTGGGTAGCTGATTAGCTTCTCTGCATATTCTAGCTATAGGGCAGAAAAAACCATAATTAGTCCTATGATACTCGCTATGAAAAATATGCACTTGCCTAGTCTGTCTCACAGGGGCACACAGAGAAATGCTGTTCAACAAAGGGGGACAGTCAATTAAGTTATTAAGCAATTTGAAAAGTAAACATATATCATAATTCCTTCTACGTGCCTCTAAACTAGAAAGACCCAGCAACCGCAACAGGTCATTGTAGCAGACCTCTTCTGATGGTATATGCATCTTATAGGCAATATACCTCAGAAACCGTTTCTGAATTCTCTCAACATAATTTATATGGACCCCATAATGTGGTGACCAAATTGGGGTAGCATATTCCAAAAGGGATCTCACTACAGAACAGTAAACGCTCCTTAAAGTAAAAATATTATTAAAATCTTTTAGAGTGCGAAATACAAATCCCAAAAGTTTCATTGCCCTATTACAAATATTCTCAATATGTAAGTTAATGTATGTATTGTTAGTTGAACAATTTGAAAAATAATTTGTGAACAGACTCCATTTTGTATGTAGAATCGTATTTCAAAATAAAAAACACATCTTTCCATTTAAAAGGGGCAAATGTCAAAAATATCGTAAAATGTGTCCCCCCGTGTACTTATTATTACGTCACCAAAATGTCAAAAAAAAATTTGCAGCTGTTTTTGACATATCGCATTGTAACACTTTAAAAAACTCACCCTGTAATACTGCCCCCCCCCCCCCCTGTGAAACCACGTAACGACGCCCATGTCTCTTTACCTACTAATCTGACTGGCTACGCGCCGCCCTATTATGTTTCGGCTAAATATGCAAACTCGGATAGTTTGTAAACTAGCAGGATAGTTTACAAACTATACATATAATTCAAATTCAAAAAAAGCTTTATTGTCCAAAATAATAGCAATGTCACGGCTCTGGGGTGCGTGACAGAAATCTTGGATTCGTTTATTCCAAAATCAAAGTCCAATTAACACATCAATAATTTATTCGGCGTTACTACACATACTCTGACACTAATTACTTCACTTATTAACTCAAAGAACTTAACTCTTTACAACTCTTAACAATAATCACTATCTAAAACGTATCACAGCCAATCTCAAACTTAAAAACTACTAACTAATACCGGCCTTTATACAGGGTGTTTGGTAGGTCGATGCATATATTTTGGGTGGTGATAGAGTAAGTCATTTAGAACCTATGTAGTCAAACTTACCTCAGTACCAAGTCTAATGGTTTTCAAAATATGGCCGATTTAATTTTTTCTTGAAAAAATCTCACAAATCCTTTGTTGGGCGCTTTAATGCGTTACTTACTCAGAAATACCATCTCAATTATTTATGTTTTGTATCTCAACATAATATGTATTTCTTGTGTTAAATGCATCAACGATAAAATAAATAAAAAATGAACAATACAAGCAGAGCTGGGCAGTAGCTAGCTACCAAGTAGTTAAGCTACTAGCTTAGCTACTTTTTTGGTAACTAATAACTTATTCAAGCTACTTTGAAAAAAAAGTAGCTTGTAGCTGTAGCTTTTGGTAATGTGTTTCAAGTATTCATAAGCTACTGTGAAAAGTAGCTAGCTACTAAAACAAGCTACTTAAGCTACTTTTGGTAGATATTAGATAATAGTTATTTAGGTATTAATGGCGGAAAGTGTCATTTACCGCCCGAGGGTGTGGTTAACGATACTCAACGCCCAAAATACTTATTACGTTTTATGCGCAGCGGACTCTTCTAGTTCAAAAATAAAATAACTATACCTAAAATATAATATAATGGCATCCATTCGTCATTGTTTTCAAAAATAAACAGTTTTCCCCTTATAAAGACACGTTTCCACCAACCTATCGCCCGCGTTTGAATTTACCGCTCGATAAAAGTAACTTTATACTTTAATTGCTCAAGCTACAATTATCATTTTCCGGAAAATTCTTATCCTGCCTTTCTTAGACTAGTTTCTAGTTATCTCTGTAGGTACCTATGTTTTATGTGTCCTATTTTATTCTCGCATTCGCAGATTACTGTGATCAAAGTGAACCTAATAAATTAATGTCCAGTGGTTTTTGTCAAAAATATGAATACTACTTCTTAGAGAAAGTTAATATGTTATTTTCGTATGATGATATTATGAAATTAAATTAGGTAAGGCATGTACATTGATAAAAGTAGCTTAAATAGTAGCTTTCACTAATTCAAAATGTAGTTAAGTTACTAATAGCTTAGCTACTTTTTCAAAGAGGTAGTTGAGCTACTGAGTAACTTAGCTACTTACAATATAAAGTAGCTTGTAGCTTGTAGCTAGCTACTTTTTCCAAG